GCACAGTGTCACCTTCACCCGAGATGAGGATGTCGTCTGCAACTGTGCGCACACCGGGAAGGCCTTCGATGGCTTGATCCAAACGATGTTGGAAATATTCCGGTGCGGGTGATATGCCAAATGGCATCTTCAGCCACCGGTACCGACCAAATGGAGTGCCAAACGTTGTTAGATAGCTTGAATCTTCATCTAACTCGACATGCCAAAACCCGTTTTTAACGTCACACACACTGAAGACTTTAGCTTTTGACAAGTCCGGCAGGAGATCGTCGATAACCGGAAGAGGGTAGTGGCTGCGTTTCAAAGCTTTATTTAGTGGCTGAGGGTCGATACACACGCGAAGCTTGCCGTTGGGCTTCTTAACAGGTACCAAGCTTGAGACCCAATCTGTTGGAGTGTCAACTGCTTTGATAACACCAAGTTCTTTGAGACGAGTGAGCTCTTGCTTTAACTTGGGTTTCATTGCCACTGGAATCCTTCTAACAGGCTGTTTCACTGGTTCAATGGTTGTGTCCAACTCTAAGTGAAGTTTCTTCTCAAATTTTCCTTCTCCAGTGAAAACGTCATGGAAATCTGCTGCTATTTGTTGCATCGTTAGGCCCATTGCTTCTGTCTTTTCTTGTACCAATGAGATATTCTCGTAACGCACTTTGATTAATTTCATTTTCTGCACCGTTTTGGAACCCAACAGTGGCGTGCAGTCGTTATTGACAACAACAAACTCTGTTTCGCATTCTTCATCAACCTTGGGATTTACCAGATTAACACGACATTTACCAATGGTTTCCATTTTCGATCCGTTAAACATGCTGAGGACTTGTTTCGAATGCGCGATCGGGCACTCGTTCGGTAAATCGTTTTTGCTTATCACATTACAGGTGGCGCCACTGTCGACTTGAAAACGAACGGGATGACCTTTGATCTCCATTGTTGCGAAGATTTTCGATTTGATGGGTTGACTACTGACACTTTTGACACTTTGTTCTTCCAGATTTTCGGATGAAATCGTGAAGCAGTACTCTTCATCGCTCGAATCCTGCGAAGTTTTTGCGTCTCGCACTCGGTGAATCCGTTCTTTTCTTCGTTGTCGCCCACCAAGTTTCTGTTTACATAGCTTGGCGAAGTGATTTGTTTTGCCGCATTTCGCACATTCTTTTCCGAACGCTGGGCATTTATCTCTTGATCTCTCGTGTTTTCTGCCGCAGTATTTGCAATTAACTAACTTAGGACTGGCGTCTCTGCCGTCTTTTTTCTCTTTGTGGTTGAGTGCGTTGACTTCTTCTCTTCCACTCATGACTTTCATTTGCGATGCAGTTGTTTCGGCTGATCGACATACATCGATACACTTCTGAAGATTTAATTTGGGCTCTTGTAGTAATTTCTTCCTAGTTCCCGTGTCACAAATTCCACAGACGATCCTATCACGAATTAATTCGTCGGTGAGTGGACCAAAATGCACGTTTTCGCGAGAGTTTTGAGCGCTGTGAGATACGTGTCAAATGATTCGCCGCTTTCTTGTTTTCTATTATTGAAGCAGTATCGCTCGTAAATGACATTTGTTTGGCCAATGCAATGCCTCTCCATCAACTCCAGAACTGTATTCATTACGTCCTTGTCTTCTTCTTTTTTCGAACGGAAGACCATTGTAGACTTCGAGGGCTTCGGTTCCAATGCAGGTAATGAAAGTAGCTACACGGTATTTATCTTCTTGCTGGTTAAGACGTGAGGCGATTTCGAACGAATCCCACACTTGCTTCCACTTCTTCCAGTTTTCTGAAATATTTCCTGCCAAATTCAATCGCGACGGAATTGGTAAATTGCTTTGTATTCCATAACATGGCGTCGGCGCTTGAACACTCGCTGAACCTTGAGGTGGTGTAGTTGGCATCGTGTCGAAGAGGCTACACTCCTGGTACCATGTTTCGTTCTACCATAAACACACGATTTCTAGGTAACGAACAGTCTTTATTTGTAAACTAAGTGCGCTCTCATGTAGATATATGTGATCTTAAACCTTTTGCGATTAGATAACATCGACCGCTGTATCATGTGTCACCTGAGGTGCACGTGATCTCCGAGTGTGCTCTCGTTACATGTACTATAGTAGTTCAAGAGTCATTGGAATATCTGATTGTGTGATTGAATCCAGGGAGAGTCTGTCAAAATTAAATTTGCCTTGAGCCAGGCAAGAAAAAGGAAAAAGAGGGAGGAAAAATTCGGCCAGGGGTTAAACTGTCCTCTAGTTCTTTTGCTAAACATGCAGCTGAACTTCAAATTGAGATGATTTCAAAGGTAAGTTGAGAAAATTGTCATAAATTATTCATTACTGAAAATTTAATGAGAAAACTGCTTGTTTAAAATCTCACATCAGCAAATGTTATTTAAAGGTTTTCCTGATGCAGCAAGTCACTTTGCAGGTAATTTATATCAATTAATTAGAGCTAAATTGAAGAATGATGATTGCCTTAAACCATTTATACTAGGTTTGCTGTGATTGGAGAGAAATTGCTCTCATAATGCATGAGAGAGTCTTTGAAGACCATGAAGAACAACAGATTGACATTTAGGATCTGAAGGTGATTTTTTTCCTTGCATTAAGACTCACTGCCTTTTCATTGTTTCAAATATGGATGTAAGAACTTAAATTTTCTGAAATGAGGATGCCCAGAAATAATTTAAATTTTATTTTTATTCATTAGCTTTATTATTATATGCTCTAGGTTTTGGTTTAAAACTGCTATCACCAGCAAGTTGATATCTATTAATTACACACTAAGGAAAACTGCTGCTTTTGAACTTTTAAAATATTATGACACATAGAATTAGCCCTTAGGTTATAATTCCTTTTTTCCCCCAAGAAAAAGAACATTTTCCTACCATGGATGTGGCTGGAAAAGTATGAGTCATGATTTGAAATCATGGACTGAAGAAAAGAAATCCTGGGTGTTTGTTCTTAGTGATCTTTTCCAGCAAATGTTTGGAACTGACTTCTTAACCTATTTTTTTGACAAAGATCATGGAATTAAAGTTGATGATTCCAAAACATGTGGAATTTTTTAATACTGTCATGAGTTCTAGGAGAAGCATTTCTTCTAGAGAAAGTCCAGAGCCACAAGACGATACCAAGCATCTTTGTCATCCCAGAATCCATCTTAGTTCACATGCCAATATTCATCCGCAACAGCCAGCACATAAACGAATTAAATTTGATATTCTTGATTCAACTTCGCCTAGCATCTACCAGCCATCCATGTCAGTGTTTAACTTTGCTGAAATGCTTGAAGCCCAAGATGACTCCATACATGTAAAGAGCAGCCAAACATCCTTAAAGTTTGTTAGTGACACTTCTGTGGTTATTGGAGATGATAATGATCCTACAGTGCCACAGTAAAGTGCACTTAGAGCTGCAATGGCTAAGGCCACAATAAGAGCTGAAGTAGCTGCCCTTTACAGCCTCATTCCTCCACTTCCATCAAGATCTCCCTCTGCACTAAACCCATTTTATGAGGAGCTGGCCTTTTCAGATTCCTTCTCTGTAGCAGAGTGTCCTTGTGAAGGTGATGAGGGCTCACCAAATTGTACAATGAACGAAAAGCTGGTAAGAATCCTTGTGGCATCAAGATTGAGGGTATTGGGCAGTTCTCTGAAAATGCCTTATCTATCTTGTGGTGTTTCTGTGCTATAGTAGACACCCACCACAAAGTATCTGAAGAGGCTAAATGGCTCTTCCAGATGAAATGCAGCCCTAAAGATCTTGTACAGTTGCAAAATGCCCTTTGGAATGTTTCAGCCAGTCAACCAATACTGGAGCATGGTACAAAGAACCTCGATTCCACCTCATTTTCGGATCTTGTTGAGGAGCGTTACATTGACAGTTTTGTCGTAGATATTTGCAAAAGCAAGTCTCTAGACAAAGCAAGAGAAATTGGAAAGGGTTTCACTGTCTTCTTTCCAAGTCAGTTCTATAATTGGATGATGTCAAGTGACAAATAACTCCAAAAGCGGAAGTTGAGAGAAAATGTAGAGCAGCTGAAACAAGTCAATGACCTCCAGCAAATATTGAGGCAAATCTACCTGCCCAACCACTGGAGATTGATGTTTGTGGATCTAGTGAATAGGGAGATGTATTTTGACAATGGACTTTAGTCCACCGCTCCTCCTATAGCCCTTTTCTCAGTCAAAAGATCATTAGAATTGCTCTTAGAAATATACCATTTGTCTTTTAAGGCCATTACCTCATTGCGTGACAAATTATTTTTTGGCTTAGTTACAGTAATCGCCGCTAGTTGTGTTTTTACATTTTCCAAGTAGTTCTAACGGGCAATTGAAGGCTGAACCGGTGGCATCCAGTTTGATTTAACATGAAACGGAAGTGGCTCTTTGTTTTGTCCATGAAAGATGTATTGAAGGCGCATTCGTCTTGCGAGTTGTACAAAATCTCGCAACAATTGTGAGCTAATTTCACATTGGTTGGTCACGGGTGTTGGGATGAATTTGAGGCCCTTTGATAGCACGCTGACTTAACGGTCAGAAATATGATAGTTTGAGAGATCTTTTTGGAATGTTTTATTTGTCTCCCTTTCTTTGGCTGAAAGCTTATAGTTTAAAGAGAGTCTACGCTCTTTGCGTCGTATGCTTTTTGTTCTGCTTCCGCTGTTGTTAAAGCCAGCTTTTTTAGAGTAAGAGAACATGTCATGTTACCATTGCATCACTCACGAATGATTACATCGCATTCTCAAGTTCCCGTATCAACACGTACTCAGGAGGTGTGAATAAACTAGTTCATCATGGCTACCCGTGTGTTTATTCTCCGTCAATCTAGAAAGTATACTGCTTAACATGGTGTCAGGACCGGTTTTTACTGCAAGCCAGCTTCTCGTAGACACAACTGCACAATTGAATAGCTTCTTCTGCAACATCTCAAACCTTCATCAACATTTCACAATTGTGCCATACCGAAGCACTGAGAGACCAGATTTCATGATTAATGTCTACTAGAAAGTTACAGAAATCCCGCTAAAAGCAGACTCACCGAGACTGCGGACCATTTCATTGCCGCTAAGAGACCCTTCAAGTTAGCAATTCCTGCAACAAAATGGAACACTTTGGATGACGAAATCGCTTCCAAGATACCGAAAAACAACGCTGGAAAACCCTGGGTTTGGCTTCAAAATATCAGAGAACATTACGTTGGTGCAATTAGTTTGATCCAAGACCGGTACCACTTCTGAGCAAAAATATCACAAGCAGACCAAACCTCCATTTCACCGTGAGAAACCGCTGTGCGTACTGCTGCCGTTGGCGCTGATCTTTTGGCATGAACGTGGAAGAATTTATGAGGGATAAGTTTCTCTTTGATCTCAACAAATCCTTCAATCGCTTCCGAGAAGATATATTTTTTAATGCGATGGCCAACGAAAATCGGAGGATACCCCTTCCACCCTAGCTATCGTGGTGAGTCAAGCCATATCGTTTAAGGTGGCACAACATACAAACAAGCTTTCTTCCAAGCCCGCCACAGAAGAACAGTTTCACTCACTCACTCTACCACTTTCACGACAGCGCACAAATTGGTCAAAAAATCTCCGGGCAGATCAAGACCTGGAACCTACCCTAAAAGATCCTGTTTTTTCTGTGGCAGCAAGCAGCAACACTCCTGTGACATATGCCCAGCTTCATCTCAGATTTGTAACTGTTGTCACAAAAGTTATCAATTCGCAGGCGTCTGTCAACAGGCTGCCAAAGACAACCGAAACTTCAGACCTGCCTTCCAGACGGGAACACATGAGAGTGGTGGAACACGAAAAGCACTCCTACACCCTTCTCGAGGAAGGCATACAGTATAAGAATTGCTTCACCCTCGCTTGCACCCCCACACACTGGTGTCCCTACGACGGCCCCGCCCTCTGACAAAGGCCATTTCATCCTGCCCCTTTTGGAGGACCCAGACTCAAAATGCAGGGCGCAAATTCCTTTCCCGATAGATTTGGCAGCCTCGTGCAACACCCTTCTATCCTGCCACCTCTCCAGCATGCCCTGGGCCAAAATTCTACAGTCCAAAACTGTGATACTACCCTATGCCAGTCCACCAATCAAACCCATTAGTCAAGTTACCCTCCAAGCCAGTAAAGGTAAATCCACGAGCAACCTCACCCTTCAAGTCAGTAACAATGACCAACCAGCCTTACTCAGTACAGAGGCGAGCATAGCACTTGGTGCACTAACTCTACATGTGGACTTCATAAGGAAATATTTTACCAGCAACCCTTCCCAGCCACTGCGGACTGAACCTGCCAGCCACCATGAATCAGAAACTGGGCCACTTCCACCACCCCCAGATACGTCAATGCGAGTCTGGCCTACACTTGGGACTTGAACTCTGGAATCCATTTCCGAGAATTGGACCTCACTCTTTTAAGGTCTGGGCTTCCTCGGCCCATCCATCGATTTCAACCTGGATCTAGATGTTAAACCCATCATGCCCCCATTTACCGCGAGCCCATTTCAATCAAAGTGGCCCTGGATGCATATGAAGCCACTGGCCAGCTGAAAAGGGTATCTCAACGGACAGACTGGATATCTAACACGGTTGTATTAGAGCGAGAACCAACTCCCACCAAACCAGGAATAACGCGGATCAGCTTAAACCCTTCTCAGACCCTCGACAAAGCCATTCGATGTCCAAAGTACCTGCACAAGCTGCATGGAATGCAATATATGTCGGTAATAGATATCCAAGAGGCCTTTCAAAACATTCCCCTGTCCTTAAGATCATCTTTAATGACCACAACGTTTAGACCATGGGGTCGCTACAGATGGACTAGGCCACCATTTGGCATAATATGAGGATATTACCCTCTGCATCCAAAGAATGGCAGCGCCGAATTCATATGGTACTGGCCTCCCAGACATCAGTGCTGTGACGAAATCTTAATCCCTGGCTGCGTTACCAATAACACGGAAGCCAGAATTGACCACGAACGTAACCTCATCAACGTACTTAAGGAATTTGTACAATGTCATGTCAAGCTTCATGTCAACAAGATGAAATTACTTGTTCGCAAAGCCATCTTCATGAGCCATGTTACCAATACGGATGGCTTCCAGCCCAACCCTGTCACGGTTAAAGCAATAATTGCCATGCCCACTCCAACCGACAAGGAAGCAGTGTCCCGATTCATAGGGGCTATTAATTACCTGGCCAAATTCTGTCCCCAACTTAGCAGCGTCACCCAACCCCTATACAACCTCACCAATCCTATGATCTAAGGCACCAGCAAGCCTTTGCCAAGTCCTAGCCACCTCTGCAGCATGACTGGCATACTTCGACGTAACTACGCCTCTGATCCTTCGAGTGGACGCCTCAGACTATAGCCTGGGAGCTTCTCTCTTACAGCCTATCATACTACACAATAGCAGTGCCCTTGACAAGTCTTCTCTACGACCCACTGCGTACAGCAGAAGGCCTAACCACTACCGAGCAGCGCTATGCGCAACTCGAAAAAGAGCGCCTGGCTATTGTCGCAGCCTTCAAAAATTCCGGTAATGGCTTTTGGGAAAATCCAACACAGAGTCCATATAGACCACCAACCACTTCAGCCAATCTTCAAGAAGGACCTCGCTCATCGCCTAAACAGCTGTAGAAGATGACGCTTTTCCTACAGCGTCACAACTTTACTGTTGTGTACAGAAAAGGTTCTTTCTTGCAGACACCCTATCCAGAGCCTCCTGTCAAGACGAAGCCTTCAACCCATCCATGCCAGACACCATCCATGTGTTTCACGTTCATCTTGCTCGCTTGGACCTCACCTCACCGGCCCTCACCGATACCATTTGCGAGCAACTATGCAGTGCCACATCATTATGCCCTGACATGCACTTGCTGCAGCATTACACCCTCCACGGTTGGCCACCTGCTAAGAAGCTCCCACACCATCAACTCCAAGCACTCTGGCACTTTCGTGAAGAACTCAGCATTGCAAATAGTATTCTTCTTAACTCTACTCGCGCCATCGTCCCTACCTCTCTCAGACCAAGCATGCTGAGCAAAATCCACCACTGCCATGGAGGAGCAGAACACTGCCTTCGTTTCGCTCGAGATGTAATTTTCTGGCCCAACATGCATATTGCCAGCCATGCCCTAGTATGGAAAGCAAGCTACCACTGAGCCTATACTATCCCATCCTGTCCCTACACGACCTTGGCAGTTCATCCCGCAAGATATACTTGAGTTCCAACAGAAGCAGTACCTAGTCACCGTAGACCATTACAGTGATTTCTATGAATTGGACCAGCTGATAAACACTCAATCCACCACCATCGTCGTGCTCACCATAGCCCACTTTGCCGGCCACGGCGTCCCATTACGTTGTATGACAGGCAATGCCCCGAACGCCAAATAAGTTTAATGACAACGAACTTTATTAGAAAGTGGGCTAACAAAGTATAACCTCACAAGAGCACTCCATATCCTCAGTGCCTCGCTTATGGAGCATTTTTCTTCTTGTTCATGTTATTATCTTTTTATTTTTGAACAATGAGTCACATTAATTTTGTCTTGGATGTCATATACATTATTTGTTTGTATTTGTATATATAATTTTTTTTGACAAGGGGGGGTGTCATGTCACCGTTGCGTTACTCGCGCATGATTACACCACATTCTAAAGTTCCGGTACCAACGCGCACTCTGGGGTGTGATTAAAAATCATCACGGCTGCCCATGTATTTATTCTTCGTTAATCTAGATAGCATACTGCTTTACAAACACTTATATTTTTCATCTCTTTTATTTCTAAGTGTATGAATAAGCTCTTTAAGGTCAGAAATCCCATTCCATAAGTTGGCTATTTTATCATTGAATTTTATAATGAGTGCTTTCCTTTGAGCGGTTGCCTATTTACGTGTTTGTTCGTACGAGCTGAGAGTTCGTAGTTAACCCTTTTTCTTTGCCTCTCTAGCCCTCTTCTGTGAAAGCTAGAACACTAAACTTGTTGAGCTTGTTGTTTATTTCTTTTACTTCTCTATCGTAGATTATGCCCGGCGCGATGTGGAAATATCTGTAGAGGCTGATGTACTTTATCTTCCTGTTACAGCAAATGTCCTTTTGAATCAAACCCGTGTTTACTAAGAAATAAGGTCAGTTGAGATAAACGCTTAAGTAAACAAGGCTTAGTGTGACATCTTGTTTGGGAAAACGAAACTGTGAAATATGTTACAGGTGAGGAATACAAGGGGAATGCCGCTCTTAATAAAGTTTGTCTTCCTTTCAAAGCTGAGTATTGTCGAAATCGACTGTTTTAGTAGTCTTTAATTTTCTGCCGTTTGGCCTAGGTTCGTACTTACAGGTTAGTAAACAGGTTTACAGCAAGAGATGGGAGTTGTTGATGTATACTTGATGTATAATGTAAAGTAATTGATACTAACACAACTTCTCTTTTTCACTAGACTAATTCTGCAGAAGACCAACTAATAACCAGGCTAAATGTAAAGTCTGGAGAAACTGCTAAAGTTCTTTGTGTTGTGCCTGCAGTCTGCACTCGACTATGGACTTATTGATTAGTGTCTATGGCAAAAAATGAGTTTTGTAACAAATGATCCTAATATATTTCTTTATATTTGAAGAGAAATCATCAGATTTAATAATGTAATATACACATTAGAGATTTAGGTGTTGTCACTTGACTGCCCTTTTTTCCTTGCTAATTGCACATGTATAAAAAGCTAAAGCAGGATAGATGACACGTACAAATAAAATTCTGAAGGAGCAAAACAGATTGCATCATTCTATCCATACATTTAAACCACTTATTGATTGTACCTGGCAAACTAATTTAGCTTTAGTGCGTGAAAGATCTTTATCATTTCGTATTTAGACTCATATTTTACCGTTCAGTCATCTTCAGTACGCTGTATCTTTGCAACTACTGACCCTTTTCATTCAAGCAATGGTTTATTTAACAGCATGATTACATATTGCTCTTTGTCTGTTTACTCCCTTTTGAAGACATTTTTGTTTCATTCAATTTTCTTACCATTCATAAAATTGGACCAAAGATTCTGAGTGTACATGTAGATGATGTAATGGACATAAAATATGTGCAGCATATGTTGTTTGCAAATCTTTATTACTAGTTATACCAGTTGAATTAGTAAAGATATTGTTTTGCATATGACTCTAATAATATCTGGTGTTGCTGAAAGGGTTATGCATGGTGTCTGTGATGAAGAAAGTTGTTACACAGAAAAGTCATAGTTAGCGTCATTGTTTTGTTACTGGTGTGATATGTGGTGTTGTTGCATGTGGAGTAAAATTTTTTTTGTTGTTGCTTTGTTACAAATGATGATGATAAATGTAATTATAATATGACTGGATGGGGTAACAATTTGGTAAATTAAGAGAAAACGAAATATGCATGTTAATTCATAGGGTTATCATTTACGGTGCTGTACAGTCAAATTCTATGACATTGTTGATATTTGTCTTTCATGTTAAGTGTGTGTTGGAAATTCTGTTTATTTGTCTGTGGTGTTAGGTTATGTGGTTATTGATTGTAACAATAAAGATCTAATTGTTCTGTTGTTGTAACATTCTTTTAACTTTTATTCGATGCTGCTGATAGATATCTAAAACAGCAGATTTCATTCAACTGCTACTCAGTTGCCATTGTCATGGCCACAACCCTTTCTTTCTCCTCCTTCCCTCTCTCTCCTCCGTGTCATGGTGTTTTTCAAAGGAATTGCTATAATTATCGAGCCTGTTATTCCTGTAAAAGGCTTGTCTGCATGTCTTCTTTAGCGGAAGCTAAGTTCCTTAAATATTCTTAAAGACAAATTTTCCTTGATGCGTATTCCTTCTCTGACAGGTAACCTTGCTTTGCAGTCATGATATCCAGTTATCCTTTTGCATGTCTTAAAAAAGGGAGGATGACAGAAACTGCTTATGGTTTTCTTTATTTTTTTTTTTATCAATCCTTCCCTAGTTTTGCTTCGGGGTGTCAGAAGTCCTACCTCTGATGTGTTGCAGCTTGGCTACAGTGTAGTGATAACCTTGTTGCAGTTTGATCTCTCTCTTGGTACTGTCTTTCTACTGCAAGACAGTAGCAAGAGAGAAGTCAGACGTTTTGACAAGAGAGAAGTCAGACATCCTGTTCTCCTTTTCCATGTCTTAAAAAAAGGGGTGGGTGACAGAAACTTCTTATGGTGCTTTTTTTTACCCATCCTTCCCTAGTTTTGCTTCGGGGTGTCAGAAGTCCTACCTCTGTTGTGTTGCAGCTTGGCTACAGTGTGGTAATAGCCTTGTTGCGGTCTGACTTCTCTCTTGCAACCGTCTTGCAGTTTCCAGACAGACGGGGTCTGTTTGGAAACTATCAAGATGAGAATAAAGGTAGAGACAGACCGGCACGGACTCCCATGTGGCGTTTGTGGTCGCGTCGCATTATCACCTTCAAATTATATTTTTGCACTTACAAGCGTATCTCGATAAGTTCATTGCAAACCCTACAGCATCGCTAAATACTAAATTAATGAGCTTACCATAACCAAATGTTAGCTTGAAAATTCAAAGTAATTATAGAGAAAGGTAGAAATATAGACTGCAGCACTGTCTTGCATATTTTGTTAAATGATCCAAACATGTCGTCTATGGTTGTTTATCAAATGTTTTTGCTTACAACATTATTAGAGGTGGATGGTGGCTGGAGTGAGTGGAACTCCTGGAGTAACTGTACTAAGGCAGTTGGTGGTATACAAATAAGAAAGAGAGAATGCACCAATCCGGAACCAGCATATGGTGGGAAACACTGCGATGGGACCGGTGCACTCCTGAGAGGATGTAGCAACATGTCCAGTTGCCTTGAAGGTAACATAAAAATTGCAGCTTTTTTAATTTCAGTGGCTAAAAACTTCTTTGTTGAAACAAAGATAAACAAATACAGGAATAACAGTTAGAACAAAAACAAAAGAACGGAACTTCTGAGTTTGAACTTTAATCACATAATTATTCAGGCCAAGTATGTGAAATGCACAAATTATTAAGAGTCATTATAAGCCAGAAATCCTTCATAATTGCAAACTCTGTACATATACGGAATACACCATGCTCTTTTTGAAAGAGCAGTTAATTTAGCGTTAACAACTGAGTTGAAAACGTAAATTGGCCACCATAAAGAGTAAAAAACCTGACGTTACGAGCGTTAGCCCTTCGTCAGAGCGATTTGAGGAATTGTGGGTTGTTTGTGGCTTTATATGCAGCATGACGTCTAGACATCAAAATTTCAATTGACGACAACGATTTATGCACTAGTGTTTACTACAAACCTACAGATTCACACAGTTACTTGTTGTATTTATCTTCACATCTATCGCACGTTAAGAATTCCATACCCTTTTCACAGTTTCTCAGACTTCGTTGTTTATGTAGTGACGACTCTAGTTTTTCCGACAGTTTTTCGATAAACGTGGCTATCCTGTTTCTGTCGTTCAAGCGGTCCATCACCGTGCCCAACAAATTGATCGACAGTCAGCACCACAAACGACTGAGAAGGAAAACACTGCGGACTGCATTCCATTCACTCTCACATTTCACCCTCACAACCACGCGGTTAAATCTATCATTTTTAAAAACTTTAAATTACTCCAAAACGATTCAAAGACTGATGCTATCTTGTCGCAACCCCACTTATTTTATTCAAACGTGACAAAAACATAGGTAACTTTTTGGTCAGATGTTCATCTCAAACCAATGATCAATCTGGAACTTTCAAATGCGCTCACTCACGATGCAAAACTTGTCCTTTCATTCATAACGTAGAGAAAATATCAGGACCCAAGAGATCAATTTAGATCACTGATCACTTTACGTGTACCTCCGCCAACGTCATTTACTGCATAACTTGCACTTATTGCAATAAGTTATACATTGGTGAAACAGTTAGACGAATAGGTGACCGATTCCGAGAACACCTTCGCGACGTGGAAAGAAATGACAAGGACGCATCCAAACCAGTCGCTGAACACTTAAATCTCCCTAATCATTCTAAACAACATATGGCAGTCTGCGGCCTTTCCTTACATCTAGGCAGTTTGGAAAGTTGCAAAATACTAGAACAAAAATTTATATTCCAAATCGGCACTCTTAATCCCAACGGTGTCCACGAGCGCTTTTCATTCAACTAATTTATTCCTGTTTTCTCATCACCATATTCCCACCAATAGCGTAGCTCCATTTGCTGCATATAAACCCACACGCAACCCACCATTCCTCCAATCGCTCTAATGAGGGGCTAGAGCTCTAAACGTCAGCTATTTTATTCTTGGCCAATGACGGTGGTCAATTTACGTTTTCAACTCAGTTGTTAACACTAAATTACCTGCTCTACTCTCCCACCGACGCAGCACCACAGTTTCCTTAGAAACTTACCCCCTTTATTAATTTGACAAGAAACATGTTTAATAATGTGAGGGGCTCAGATATTAAATAACGTTTTGGCATTGACCTTCTGGTAAAGAAAATCAAGTTAGTTACACAGGAAATTCTTCCACCACAAAACTGAAAAGAAATTTTTCAACAATGTTAGGACCTCTGTTACTGGGTAATTATATGGGAACATCATCAACACAAAAATTTACACAAGCTGAAGTAGTCCACGCTGTTTATTTTTATCCTTATTTATCAGTTTTTTTTGTTGAATGTTTTGAAGGATTACCCCTGCGTTTTGAAACAAAGGGGAACCCATCTGTCGGTACAATGGAGATATTCTCAAATAGCAGCTGGCAAACGCTTTGTACCAGTCAATGGGATGAAGCAGATAAAAATTCAGTCTGCATGGCCATGGGCTACTATAACAACGTTGTTTATGCTAATGGCACATGGTACGCAGAACGTGGCAATGCTTCAATGTCCACCCACTACAACTGTACAATTCCGACCACATGTCAAAAGAACGTGGTAAAGAAACAACAAGTCTGCGAAGGTAATTATGAACTGCACTCATGTAATATCCACATGATTTCCAAAGATGGTAACTTGATAGATTTACTCACACTTCAGAGATGAAAACTTTCCCGAGAACAATGATTGTTCGTCTTCGGGTATCTTTTTGGTTCTAAAAAGGTATCTAACGCTAAAAATTGTTTCTACTGTTTACATCCTAAGACGTTTGCGCAGTCATGCATTTGAGTTTCATGAACTTCACAACCTCCAAACCCTCCATTAAGTTTCCTTGAAACTATTGCATCCTTCTAGTTTCCCTTTTCTCTCTCTTTCGTGCAATTGGGGAATTTCACAATTTTTTACTCTACTTATACTGAACTAAACGTCTTTTTCTCGATTTTTCCTTGAGAAATGCTTTAAAAATGACGTTCTAGCTTAAAATATAAATCACCCCATTGTGTTCTCTGAAAGTAAACGTTTTAAGCCGGCTAAGAAAACACGTCTTAAATGTTCTAAAATTTTTCCCAAAAAAATCTGGTTTGTCTTATTTTAGGGTAAATGATGAGTTTTACAATTTGAAGCACAGTCACAAAGCAATGTAAAAGAGGTCCGTCGGAAACATCGCAGCAGGGAAACTATGAAAACATCGTGATTCACATCTGACAACAAACGATAATTTGCACCTAGAATTTCACTTACACAAACACTTAGACTGGCATGAACTATTCATCATTTTGTGATTTATAGGCATTCTTGTTTCTTGATAATAAGTGTTTTCCATTCTTATAAATTCGACTTTTTGTTATTTCATAAGTTCCTGTTCGCTTGAAAGGCGCAAATGTGGAGTATGGAGGAAGAGTGGAAGTATTTTACAAGGGGAAATGGGCGAAGATATGCAGGAATGGGTGGGATTTCAGTGATGTCAAAGTTATTTGTCGTCAACTTGGCTTTGAAGAGGCTTTGGCGGAATTTATTGGGTCAGAAGTAAAGGATGAGGGAGTACCTTTTGCAATGTCTGATGTCTCTTGCACCGGAGAGGAGTCAGAACTTGCATCATGCGATCGCGTTGATGGAAAGTTAAATATTCCACTTCAATGTCAATCGGATGGCGAGGGTTCTCAAGCGTTGTGTCAACCAAGTAAGCAACTAAATGTTTAGGCCTGACTAGTGATTCTGGTTTTCGTGGTTGTCTTTTTCTTCCCATTGACCTTCTAAAGTGGAGGAAAATCAGAGTAAATTGAGATACACAGATGACCAGAAGACCATTTCTAAAAACATTCTGGTAAAGTACGACTCGCGGACAAGCATATATCTGTTCGCAGATTTTACGCTTTAGATAGTGACATGACTTTGACTGGGGATGACATGACTTGGTTTAGGGTGACATGAATTGGCTTAAAATGACTTAGATGATTTCGATTTCTTCAACTTAGTTGATAATATAAATTTGCCTCCGTAAAGAGTTTCAGAGCTGAAATTCAAACGTTAGCCCTTCGTCAGAGCGGGTTCTATACTTCCCCACAGACGCAGCACCACAGTTTCTTAAGAAATTTACCCTTCTTATAGATGATTCAGTTTGGTCTTGAGGTGGAATAACGTTAGCTAAGGTGTACATGACTGTCAAGAAGGTAATATGACTGCTTATAAGATTATCTGACTTAAGTTAAAGGTTACCTTTTTTTTTAATGGGTTTCATAACTTCTTTGGATGCAATATTATTCTGTTCAAAGGTTACATTACTTTAATAACGGCTAGTATGATTTTGTTTGGAGTAATGTCACATAGTTTTGAGTACGACAAAGTTCAAAACATTTCTCAATGTAAGCATTAGGACAGGTAAAGATATGCATCTTTTGTATCCCTTGTAGTGTTAATTACAAAAAAATTTTACTTATTTTGACAACATCTAAATTGAACCATTTTTTTTTTTTTTGCAGAGAACAAGAAAGTGTTGAAAAGAGATGAACTCTATTTTGAGATTGGTAGCACAGAAAGGCTTCATTGTTCTATACACAATAACACCAATCATGCTAGATGGGTCATTAATAGGCGAAAGCTTGAAATAACAAACTCTTCTTCTCAAAGGATCAGGGCTGAAGACAATGGTGATCTGGTCATTGATGACGTGCAACTGTCTGATGGAGGAATATATGAATGCCAGAGATTGGAACATGTTCAATATTACATTGTCTACATTAATGGTATGAAAACACATATTTTTATCTTGTAGAAATAGGCTTAATATGCAGGACAATGTTATATAAGACAAGTACACTTCTGACCTTTCAAAAGTGTAGCTATAATATTAGTGCTTTTCATTACTCCTTTCAACAGCAAGATTTACTGAGAAGACGTTGGACCAACAAACTTTAACTGCGTACACGTCTGGCATTATAAGCTGTAGTGCTGATGGAACACCAAGTCCACAGATTTCTTGGAGTAAGAAAGGAGGAAAGTCCTTAGATCCGATACGATTCACTCAAGTATCCGACGGCAGCCTGCGTATTGGTTATGTAAAGCCTGAAGACGATGGAACATTCACCTGTACCATGAAACAAACTAAAGGACCACAGAGGGTCACAAGCAAATATAAAAACATACGAGTGTCAGTTAGAAGTGAGTGACCAATGAGATAATATATAGAAAGTCATAATATCAGTTCTTCAAATGTGATTAATTTCATTTACTCAATTTTAAAACTTTTTCGCTGTTCATATCCGCAGCCATGTGAGGCGACATTTTATCGTGAATACGTTTGTTGATTTTAGTTGTCTGAAAGTAGGGTGCCATGTTAAAAAATTATACTTACGTTATTTGTCAACAGTGTAGTTTCCTCGTCATAACTCTAAGTAAGTCCCCTTTGATGAAGTTTATAGTTTCTTTTCAAACTGATAATGTGCCTAAATCGACTTCGGTTGGTCGTGGTGACAAATTCACTTTCTGAATGCAGTATAATCGTTTGTCTCGCCATGAAGTCACTTTGGATATGGATCGCGACTTTTTGACTGAATATTGTGTCTTCGTACTATAAGGTCGGTAGATATGCATGACCTTATGAAACTCTCTGTTTGGCTGTGATTGGCTGGAATCCCACACAGGCTTCGATTGGCACGCTTTGACAAAATGCTCTTTCGGATTGTACTGTCGCAAAGTTATCCTATTTTTTTTTTGTTGTGGTCAGCATCCATGTTTCTGGGATGTCTACCCCAATGTCCAATTTATGTTGTAATAGGCGAAGTCTTGTGGATGGCCTCTTTTACCCTGCGTGTCTAATGATAGGATCACAATAAATGTACCCTACTTCAGTCCAGAGCAAGTGGTCACCAGGTGTCTTTTGAAACTGCAGAGGCCTTTGTCTTAGCATGTCGTTTCTCGATCTGCCTTATTACTCGTTTAACCTTACTTGCATAGGTCTGCCTTTCCGCTAATGTAAACTTTAGCGTACTCATAGGGAATCTTGCAAACTACGGGCTCTTGTTTTTTTGCAGTGCTATTAATGGCGAGTGTGTTGCTACTATTTGTAACATCAGTGAAGTGAATAGAATGCTTCCGGTTCTTCAAATGCTGTAGCAAGCTATCAGCGTGTTCGCGAACCAAGATTATGAATGTGTCATATACATAGCGTTTCCAGATCCTTCGCTGGTAGGATATCGATTGCTCCTATAACTCTCTATGTGGAGATCAGCAATAACGGCGGAGACCATACTCCCCATGCATGGTTGCGCCTTCTGTCTTTCGTAATTTTGTCCGAGATCATAGGAGTATGTAGACCTCAATACGAAGTTCGAAAGGTCCGAGATCTGAGAAACGATTATACTTCATATAAGGCGCTAGTGTCATTATCAAATGTTCGTTTATTTACGGTGTCTGATGTGATCAGTGTAAATGATACTGGAATACCGCCTATTTTCCAAGGACATGTCATTTATTTACCTCTTAGTTCGACCTGAAGTGGTTATTTCTGGAGCACGCAATCTCATCATAGAAGGAAACAGTGTGAACTTGACGTGTGAAGTTGTGGCGGGTCGCCCTGAACCTCAGATCACCTGGCTCAAGAATAATACATTGCAAGGAAATAGTTTGTCTCTCTTCTTTCCCGAGATAACAAAGGAGGACGAAGGGTGGTACACTTGTAAGGCAGAGAATGCAGCAGGCTTTTTCAACAAAGACGTTAACATTTCTGTAAAGGGTGTGTTCGTAAAGCTCACAACCGTATTATAAATCAATCATGCATCTGATAGGTCTACGGAGTGCGGAACAATAGTCAGTGGGCCCGACTCTACATTAAGGGGTCTGGGTCTGGGTCTGGGTCTGGGTCTGGGTCTGGGTCTGGGTCTGGGTCTGAGCTAAGGGTAAGGTGATTGCAGAAAACTATCAGAAAAATGAAAAAAATGCAAGGGCTTTCAGCTATTACCTGCGACTGGTCCACCAGTGAGGACCAGGTCCTGAATGAATAATTTTCCAGACCGCCTCATTAGTTATTTATTGCGAAGAACTGGAAAATCTTTACAATTGCTCCTTTGTTCCCGCTCTAAAAATTTGATGATTTCATAGTTAAATTATTAATATAACCTGACTGACATGGCTTTTGGAAGCATTTGTTTGATATGATCAAAAAGTGGTTCATTTTCATCATGTTCTTCTTCTTCATTTTAATTGTTATTTATTCTTTTTATTATTTTGTTTTCTTTTTATGCGAGCGGGGGGTTGGGGTGACTTCTTATTTTGTAATTTGTGTTTACATGCTTACTTTGCAGTTCCACCCCGTGTTAGTAACGAGTTCAGAAATCTCACCATTGCATTTAACTCCACATTTACAAAAGAGTGTTATTTGAGAGGAGATCCACCAGTATCTGTCAACTGGACCAGGGATGGAGTGCTAATTAGTAGAAACAACACCCTGGTTATAAGACAAGCGACGCTTAAAGATAAAGGCAATTATGAATGTACTGCTAAAAATTATTATGGTGAAGCCAAAACTTCCTTCTGGATCGATGTGACAGGTAAACTCTATATTGTTGTTTACGTCATTTGTCAAACTTGTAACTTAACAAAGCGTTTGTTTTTAAAGTTTAAGCCAAATTTAAATAGACCTATTTTTTCTCTCTTTTCATCCATTTCCTTTAAAATATCGAAGACCAAGGAACTAAGGAGTCATGATGTTATGATAAATTTTCATTAGTGAAACAATAAATGTAACTTGGAAAAAAAGATGGAGACTCACCACCCGAAAGAGCAAAGATTAATACACGATTCGATGACAAAAAGAGTTAACTTAATATGACTGAAGTTGTGAAGGAGGACAGTGGTGTGTATTTTTGCGAGGCACGTAACAAGATCGGTTTTGTTGCTCGTTCCTTTGTTAAAATAAACTTCAAAGGTAAGCTGGTGTTACCGTTGTGTCTTAAAAAACATACGACTTTACCGATTAAAATATATATTTGCAAATAGATTAAAACTATTTTTCAGTTAAAGACGGAACAAATATGGGTCACCTTACCCATTTACATGAAATTACGTTGCATCGCTCTGTGAAATTCAGGTATTTCCTCTTTAAGAGCAGGTGTAAATCATGAGTTAAACAGTATGCCAAGCTATTCCAAAGCTATTCCAAACAACCGGAATTTTATAAGTACTTTTACGACCGTCGAGATTTTTCTAATGGCCACATATTTATCTGACACAATTAGCTAAGCAAGTGCCACGAGCTATGCAAAGTTTCAACACTTTGTGGTATTACATTGGTGGATCAGTGGCGGCAGCGATTGTCATTTTGCTAATTGCCTGGTATTTCTGCAAGCGTCGGACAGGTGACGTCCATTTTCTGTGTTATTTCAGATTTCTTTGTTTCAAGTAAAAGAAGGAAATGTTTAATCTTATTTGAAAAGTCTACTGAGAGGGGGGGGGGAAACACTGAGCAAATAGTCTAGGAGTAGAGATATTTTTATAAGAATTACTCGCGTGCCGCCAAAAAATGCTAATTGCAGAGTTTTTTCACATATGTATATGGTATCATCATTATCATTTCCATTATTTTTAACGGTGTTTTGAAATTAATTATAAATTCAGCAAATATCACGTCCCTCTTAATTAGTGCAAATTCAAATTATGCTGCCATTACACAGAAATTTGATTAGAATATTCGATTTAATCAATTAATGCAAAGTTTTACCTTCTTTACGCCCTTTAACTCATTATTTGGAATTGCAGCTATGGCTCTGTAAGTCAACCATTTTATCTTTTATTCATCAAATTTATCCCGAAAAAAAATTCCCCATTGCATGATGACGATAACAAAAATCATATCGCAGTGACTTTACTTTTATCGTGCTTATGATGCATTATTAACATTCATCAAGTGTTGTTAGAATCAGCTTCATTAGTTCCTTTGTTTAATTTTTTTATCTCGTTATTATCTTCCATCTATTTTCGGTTAGATTTATCCATAGATTTAGTACTTTAAAAAAAATTGAAATGCACGTACAATTTTCTGATTTAAAAAACCAATTGTTTCTCGTTTGATTTCAACTTCATCCGATCGACAAAGTGTATTTAAATAACAATAATTACTAATATGTTTTGTTATAATTTTTGTTCTTGGTTTAGTAAAAACATTGTTTTCTCACTATCGGCAGGAGAGATTATCTCGCCAATCATGTTATCCTTGCAAATCAATCTTTTACCCTCTGATTTCTCTTTTCTTTTCATCACTTTTCTTTGTTTTGAACCTGAAAGTATACAATGTTGACTTCCCATATTTAGTCCTGACCAAGAGCAGGCAATTAAGATGGAGCCAGATAAAGATGAATGCAAAGGCAGATGCGTGGGAGGTTGCAGTTGACCGTGTCCTGCTACAAGAGGTCATTGGACGAGGGGCGTTCGGAGCCGTGTGGAGAGCTCTCCTGAGTTCACCAAATGGACAACCTGGAAATCGGACGGTGGCCGCTAAGTGTTTCACGCGTAAGCCTCCTTCAATTTGTTCTATTATACATATGTTGATCTCAGGGGTGGTTACAAAAATGTTTCATTTGGGGAGAGAGGGGGAGGGAAGGGGTGGTCCAAAATTACTTCTCGACCAACACACACCCCCCTCTTCTTCACTCAAGGTTACGCGCGGGAAAAAAAAAGGTGGGAAAGGAGCAAACAAACAAAGAAGATAATCAACTAGTTTGGTCGTAAAAGTGGTCCTGCAATAATTCTTGTTTCCAACAAGTTGTGTAACAGGTTACAGGCATGGGTTAGAAGGGGGTTAGTATGGATTAGTATCCCAAACAACACTCCCGCCGGGGAAGGAATGTTGCGGATACGCTCAATCCTCCCCTCTTTTTTCCTTTGGACCAATTCCCTCTTACTAGTGACCGATTATCCCGGGTTGAAGTTGGCAGTCTAACAGACTGACTACACGGTGCTTTTCGCTGGCAAAAGACATTTACCGAACAAAAGATGTGGAGCATCTGCAGTGATTGGGGTAATAACAGAGTCACCGTGCAATAATGGCAGGCTATCGATGTTGTCTGATATTCTTGGCTTGGCTACTTATCACAATTGTCCTACACTCTCTAAAACCTAACTGTGGTTTCGATAAGACGTCCTGCAGTATCGCTGTGTCGACGGGTTTGGATATTAAGCAGTATCCAACACGAAATTCTGGTCTGACCCGGAGGTTCCTACGTGAAGCACTTGTGTCGCCATCTTTGAAATGTATGGCCGCACTGAAATTTGCAAATATCACTGTCTGCGCAACTTACATGGTTCTGTTAGCAGGAGATATACAGGAGAATCCAGGGCCGGTGACGGATGCTTGTGCTGTTTGCACTAAAGGATGCCGAAAGAATCAGATGGCGATACAATGCGATTCATGCGACAAGTGGTTTCATGCTAAGTGTATCAGTATGAAGAGAACGGAATATGATAAACTTTGCGAACCTTCTCTGGCTTGGGAATGCATAACTTGTTTATCACCTGGCTTTGATACAACGGTCCGCAAGTCACATGAAACAACTAACACAGGAGTAAAAGAAGGAAAGCCCAGTGTAAGGATAAATAAAGATCTTCATGCAAATCTTAAGAAGAGAGGAATGACATTTGCTCATGTAAATATTGCAACTTTGCCGGGACACTATGCCGACGCCGAAGTACTAAAGGAGAAAGCAGCATTGGATGTGTTTGTGGTAACAGAATCGCGTCTGGATTGTACATTGCTCGATAGTAAGATATGTCCTTCGGGTTATACTTGCTACAGAAAAGATAGAAATCGAAATGGAGGTGGTTGCGCCGTCTTTGTAAGGAGCAAATGGCCAAGCAAGCGGAGAAGTGACTTAGAATCTGACTGTTTAGAAATGGTATGCGTAGAAATATGTCCAGAAAAGGCTAAGAACACGATATTTGCTGTGATGTATAAACCACCAAGTATGAATCAAGAGAAATTTATCTTAGGCCTGGAACAGGAGTTTCTCGCTAAATTGGACGACGAAATGGTAAAGGATTTGATCATTATGGGAGATTTCAACGCGGATGTTATTGCCCTGAAACCATGCAAATATACCAGAAAATTAACGCAAAGGACTCGTCTCCATGGTCTGAGTCAATTCGTCAAAGAGCCCACACGCGTGACGGAATTCACAAGTACGGCAATTGATCTTGTGTTTGTTAATAACACTCACCGTATTGTCTCGCATGGAGTCCAGGAATTCGGAGCAAGTGATCATTCTGTTACTTTCGTAGTAAAGAAAGCCGGAGTTTGCAAAGCCCCCTTGGAAATCTGCGACGTAAGATCTTTTAAACATTACAATAAAAACCATTTTCGGAGAGACATTGCTAGCGTTCCCTGGAGTGTTATAGAGTCTTTTGACGATATTAATGATGCTGTAGTCGCCTGGAATAATCTTTTTGTTGATGTTGCAAACCAGCATGCTCCTTTAAAGAGAATTAGAACAAAACATGCGTCTAAACCTTGGATCACTATTGATCTTAAAGAACTGATGGCTGAAAGAGACTATGCATTAAGAGTTGCGAAGAGATCTGGCAATCAGGAACAGTGGAATGAGTATCGTAGATTGAAAAACTTTACGAACAGAAAGATAAAATCAGCGGAGGCATTGCACTACAAAAATCTAATTGAGTCAGCTGAGAATCCTAAGGACATGTGGCGCTCGCTAAACTCCGTGATTGGTTCTAATAACCAGGGGGCTCTCCCTTTTCAAGTACATGACAGGAAACGTTTAGTATCGGAGCCAGAAAGCGTAGCAACAAAATTCAACAAGTTTTTTGCTGCCATTGGCAGCAAAGTTACTGATCGATTGCGCCCTGTGAGTAAGGACGCATGGAAGAAATATGAAACAGTGAAAGAAGCAAACAAGCAGAGTGATATCAAATCCACCTTGAACTTTCAACGGGTTGAACAGAACACTGTTCAAAGCATTTTGTATTCTTTGAAAGTTAATAAGGCAGCTGGACTTGACAGAATTCCAGCAAGGCTGCTAAAAGATGCTGAGGCGGAGCTTGCTCCGTCAATCACCTATCTTGTGAACAAATCAATTAGCGATGGTATTGTCCCTGATCTGTGGAAAGTTGCACGTGTTACTCCTTTATACAAGTCTGATGATAAACTGCAAGTTGAGAACTATCGGCCTATCTCTGTGCTGCCAGTATTGAGTAAAGTCGTAGAAAGAGTGGTGCATTCCCAGTTGAATGCCCATCTACATCAGCTAGATTTTCTGTATCAACACCAGTATGGCTTTAGGCGTGGGCATAGCACTGAACAAGCTATCACACAATTGAACAACTGGGTTCTTCAATCTATGGACAAAGGTAAAGTAACTGGTCTACTGTTTGTCGATATCTCCAAGGCGTTTGACTCTCTGAACCACAAAGTGCTACTACGCAAGCTCGAGCATTTAGAACTGTCTGAAAGACCTTTAAGATGGTTCAGATCGTATCTTGCTCATAGACAGCAAAGAGTTTTGATAAACGGAGAATTATCAGAGCCACATACCATCACACTTGGCGTGCCACAAGGTAGCATTTTGGGTCCCTTGCTAATTAATATGTACATTAATAGCCTGCCAAATGCTGTGAAAGAGACCCGGATGATTTTGTATGCAGATGATGCTGTTCTCTTTTGTGACGCATCAACACGTGAAGAACTTCAAATTGCTCTGTAACGTGAATTCACTGAAATCAGTAACTGGTACACTGATAACAGGTTGACTATAAATGTCAAGAAGACCAAATTTATGCTGGCAGGCAGTGAAAGGATGCTATCCTTGTTTGAAGACTTTGAGTTGCAACCAAATGGTACACAAATCGATCGCGTACAGTCATTCAAATATCTGGGAGTAACAACGGATGTAAAATGGAGCTGGAAGCCACCTATCAGCAATTTGCTAAAGAAACTAGGTCATCGTCTTTCTTTGTTTAATCGCATATTTCATATGTTAGACAATAGAACTCGCATAGCCTTCTACAATGGGCTAGTGCTACCACACCTAGACTATGCCGACACAGTGTAGGGAGATCAACCCGGTCTAAAATCAGAAATGGAAAAATTGCAAAGTTTTCAGAACAAATTTGCGAAGAAAATTAAATTAGGCAAAATGTCTTCTTCAGAAGCTCTGAAGTGTCTGAATTGGCTCCCTCTGGCTGGAAGACGTCTATTTCATCGTTGTACCACCGTAGAAAATGCAATCAAAGGAGACATTCCGCAACATTTTGAAAGTTTTAAATCGACATTGAGAAGTTCGCATGGCTACAACACTAGAAATGGCTACTTACCTAGACAGCCTAAACCTAAAACGGAATTCGGAAAGAGGGTGTCCTACTTCCGTTTTACAAATGACTGGATGTCTCTCCCAGTATTTTTAAGAAGGCCAATACCATGCACAATTTTTAAGGAAAACCTTACAAAATTCCTAATGGATAAATATTTTAAATAATGGATAAAAATTTTTAGATATACGCCGTATATTTTATATTTTAGACCTCCCTGAAAACCACGTATTTACGTGACGGGCGCTTCTCCTCCTCAAAGATTGTTTATTATTATTATAATGACGGTAAAACTAAAGAAAGAAAGATGTATTGGTAGGATTTAAACCACAACTGGTTCCGATTCGGCCTTTATACTCACAGTCAACTCAACTGTGGCCGAGGTCAGTGAGTTGGACAATCTGCTAGCTGCGAAAATTATCATCCAAACGGCTATAAGAAGATGCGAGATTTGTAACTCTGCCGGATTCTTTCTGGCTTGAACTTGCATGGAACAAATGTATTAATCAGAATGTGTCTCTATCAATGTATACTTTTGTTGCAGCCACTGCTGGAGAGGAAGGAAGGAAATGTTTGATGAGAGAAATTGAGCTGGGGAAACTTATAGGTGAAAACGTTTCGCCAAACATTGTAAAGTTCATGGGCTGCGTTACGACAGAAAGTAAGTACTAAGCGTACAGCATCTTTTCTAGGTATGTGTTATCAACGATACTACAAATGCTGAATGAACCTCTTAGGACCTCTTAACATGAGTTCCGTAACTAGGATGTTGATGGAGCCAAGTTTGTCATTTTCTTGGAGGCAACCACACTGTTTTTCTTCGAGAGCATGTATCCATCAACAGTTCATTAAGATCCGGTCGGATAGCTTTAAATCTCGTTAACGGGGCCAGCCGGCTTTCTCCCTTTTACCTATAGTAAGTTTTTGAAAGTAAATTCTGATGAAGGTAGATCCTAAAAGAATGAGTCCTTCTTTTAAGCTAATCTGCTTTATGAAGAAAGCCATCAGCAATTTCATCTTTGATATACAGTAAGGAGCCTTGACATGGGGTTTATTTGCTTTTTCTTTTGTTTTACGTCACTCAAGCTCACCCCATACTCATCATGGAGTACTTGCCATGTGGTGATCTACTTGGCTACCTGAGAAAATGCCGAGGAGTGAGGGATCGGTACTATCTTGGTGAGGGAAGAGCTCAGGATTTGACCAACTACGATCTCGTGTTGTTTGCCAAACAAATCGCCGCCGGCATGGTGTTCCTTGGAACGCAAGGGGTAAGTGGAATACTTGTCACGTGTCAACTCTAACTCAGAAAAATCTTTCAGAGATTTAAACTTTTTATTTTTCAATAGCTCGGATCTTGGCCAACATTTAGGAGAGCTTTTGAATTAGATAAACCTCTTTGTTGAAATTAGCAGGTCACTGCAGATGTCAAAAAAAAAAAAAAAAAAAAAAATGAGCCAAAAGACATGAGAATAAGATTCATAATAATTCGGTTGCTCAGCCTAAAAAGATCCCAGCTATGATTATCTGGAATGGTATAAAATTAAGCCTAAAAAAAAATTCCATGCACCCGTCAAAGATCGAGAATGCGCTGATGGTTTGTTTTGGCTATTCGCGTGTAGTGTAAATAATCTGCGCCATATATATATAGAAAAACCTTATTGCAACACTTAAAAAATTAAACAAAGAGAAAAATGAAACTCCCCAGAAATCTGTAAAAGGAAACAAAGGTAAAGAGAAAACCATCTTACTGATCTTTTTCTTTTTTGGAATACAACGGGTCCTCTGTTGCTTTACCATTTCCAAATTTCATTTCATTATCATAATTATTGTAATTATTAGCACAGTTATTACTATTATCGTTATCATTGTTATCGTTATCGTTATTTTCGTTGTTACAAAAAATGCATTTTTTTTCTGATAAAGAAAGTAGAAATCTTGGTTTTTTCAGCATTAAATCATTACATAGGGCTGCCTTAGTTTTAGCTCTTTTATCATTCGAACATCCTCAAACATTTGATTTAGCGGCGTACTATATAAACCTATCGTTTCCTACCTTTTACATTCTGGCTCCTTATCTTCTGATAGATCATCCATCGTGACCTGGCGGCTCGAAACATTCTCCTCGATAACAACTATGTTTGCAAAGTGACGGACTTTGGTATGGCATATCAAAGCTTCAAGTATGGCCATGGAAATGCTAAAAAGGTAGAAAACACTTTTTTGGTTGCTTTAGTGCGGGGTTTTCTGGAAACAAGTTGTATGCGTCAGCATATTCTCTGCATAAAGTAAATTTACCTCGTCTACCAACAGGGTTTCATAGTTCACTTTTACTTACAAGAAAGAAGCAAAACAAAACAGAGATAGAAATTAACAGAATCGGTACTTTGGCCCGGACATCGGGATTGTCAATTTCACAAGCGTTTTTTGTGGAAAGTCTCGTGAAAGGAGTTGCGTTTTCTGTTTCCGTGACATTTTGACGAAGGCTAACATTGGATTGACTTATTAGGGAACGACAAATGTAGCTTTCTTTTCACATTTTAAAATGTTTACGTTATGTAGCTTCATATTTTATCAAAGATGGTTTGGAAAAAAAATGTACATATGCTTAGTACGGCAAACATTTATTGGTTGTTTTTCCAGGGATGTTTGCCAATCAAATGGACTGCACCAGAGATTCTGCTGGGAGAACTTGCTGGACTTTCCACCTTGAGTGATGTGTATGTATAGATATGCATATTAATCCACCAAACTAACGAACTTATTACCTTTGGATTTTTCTATATCATTTCACGTCCAA